TTCATATTAAAATAGTCGGCGTGGTCGTGTGTCAGGGATATAGTTTGGTGAAAATTCTGACACCGCTGCATACACATGACATAAACAGCGAGCGTACTGTATCTGGTGTCTGGTGTGCCAATATAATTCCATATTGACTGCGCACGGCGCCTTTCTTTGGACAGGGACAAACACGGTCAAGAATTGGACGCACTGCAGTATACTAATCAGGTTAGTGTGAATGCCCGTTACAACCCATTGTGTGTAGCGTTACCTTTGAAAACCTGACATAACAATGCTGTTTCTCAGTCTGGTCCTGGTGACTGTACCCATCTCTTTAGCGAACCCGTGTCTTTCTCTGTGTCGGAAAGAATCTTTGTTCGAATGTGAGTTTAACATACTAAAAGCACGCGTACTCGTTGTGGACCACTTAGAGCCATGTATCTTATGTAAGAAACAGGGAGAAGTAAACGCTAGCAGAATACCTGTTTCAGCACCCTGTTTTCTTGACGCGAAGGTACTGGCGATAACAGGCTTCTCAGTTCATGTACTATCAGATAACAATCTACCGGTCTTAAACCATTCTGCAGTGCACAATTTACTCCTTTTTGAGGATGAAATTGAAGACATAGAAGAAAACACCCTAAGTGAGTTTTCGTCCCTAAACACACTCGGCCTTGATTTCAACAGATTGACACAAATCAAAAAGAAGTGGTTCACGGGTTTAAAGGAGCTCAGCTTCTTGACCTTATCCAATAACAGGATAACGAAGGTTTGAGCCAGGGTGCTTCACGGACCTATCTAGACTTGTCCTCCTGAACCTTGAGCACAATCAGATTCAGGTGGTTGATATAAGTTGGTTTGTTGGTCAGGGTGTAGGCCTATCCTTTATTATAGACAAACCTGATATTTCCTACTTGTACTTGGGGTATAACAATATCAGAAGCATCCCTGCCTGGGCATTTGAACACAACAACTTCGTTGATTTGCACCTGGAGAAAAATGCTCTGTCTTGTCTAGATCGGGAGTTGACACAGTTTATGATGAAAATGATAAACTTTGCTGCCGGTGGTAACAGTTTAGTTACAGTAGGCGATAAAGTACCTCACAGAATGCCGTGGAGTCTTACGATCCATGGTGAGGTACAGTCCACCATTCAGACCGTATCCGTCGAAGTCCCCAACTTCTATCTGTGTGTTACACAACATCCCGAACCAAATCTAAAGTCTATTTGTTGGAAGTTTGATTCAGAAGAGATGGTTCCTCGTCACATACCAGGGAACTTCCGTGGCCTATGTTTGATGCCTTCTGAGTCCAATAGCGTTCAAAAATATATTGCCAGTGAACCACCGCTAGTCGTCATTGCTACAAATGACGAAACAGGGAAAAATGCGGATCACTATCCAGATATGTGCAGACAGGCATGGCAACACAATCTGGGGATTACAGTGGCCTTGAAAGATAGCTCAAGCTTAAAACTAGTTTCTATGGGAGTAGGAAATGCGAGCATGGGGACCATTGCTGTCATACTTGACACCGAAACGAGCAGTCTCCCATACTTTGGCTTTGAGGCAAGCACAAACGACACTGAAAACATCACCTGTATTCTTCTCTTTAAACACAATCCATCTCCGCTATTCGTTAATATAACCGGTTATCAAAAGAAGACGAGCAAAATGTGCCCTTTGCATAGTAGTGACACAGACAAAGCAAGTTCTATAACATTGAACCCTCAAAGTAGAAGCACGAAGGTACAAGTACAGAGCACTACAGAACAGTACAGATCTCAGACATCGAATGACCAGGTCAGCACCCTCCTGACAAATCGTGTGCTAAACACACCACAACCAAAATCCTTTACCATCCCTGTCGTTACCTCAGCTGTGGTGGCTTTGGTCGCCTCACTTCTTGTAGGACTCCTGTTAAAGAAGTGTCTACAAAGGACACGAAACAATATGGACCCCATGGATGCACACGTGTGGACACTACCGCAGGGTCGTGCCGGGCCCGGCTTGTTCAGATCTGCTTCTCTCCCTGACATGACATCACCATGCCTGACAGTACCGGACGACCCAACCTCCTGTAGGGCGTTACTTGCTATCCTTCAGCACTCTTACTGTGAGATCCCTGATAATATAGCTGCTGCACAGCGACCACTGCCTGCCCTGCCACACACATACTGTGAGATTCCAGACCATATAGCAGCTGCTCAGCGCCCATTACCTGCCTTTCCACCTACGTACGAACACATCCCAGATAACATGACTGCACAGCGGCCTTTGTCTGCCCCCTCCCATACGTATTGGGAGATCCCAGACCTTGCCGTGTGTAGTATGACAGGGCCATCCGTCTGTAACACAGCTCCAACAATGACCTGTAGATCATTGCCTGCTGCTCTGTATTTCATTGAAGCCTCCAAACGCATCACTCTTCCCATTGGCCGTGATTTGGTAACTAGAAAGGCTGCAGCAGCATATGGAGTTACCGACAAGGCCAAATACAATTCCGCTAGCATGTACAGTCCATGGAAGGTCACAGAACAGGGCTACCAAAACATAGCGCGACCACGGTCCTTCCCTGTCCTCCCTAACACGTACTGGCCATGGTCACTGCCAGGGGAGGAACCACACAGCACACTGTGCCACGATGAGTTAACCCCAACGTTACCAAACACCTACTGGCCATGGGAGACCTCAATGAAAACCATTCCAAACGTAAAACGCCGAAAGTCGCTCCCCACTCTCCATAACACTTATTGGCCATAGTCACTGCCAGGGGAGGAAGCGCAGAGCACACGAAGCCAAGAACCGTCGGTTCCATTATCACCAAACACCTACTGGCCATGGGAGATCCGGTAAAGACCAACTGAAAACGATGACGATCGCTTACTACTCTCCCTATTCTACTTAACACCTGACGCAAAGAGCCGTCGGTTCCCATATCATAAACACCTACTGGCCATGGGATATCAAAGTAAAGATGATACCAAACACGAAACAATGATAGTCCCTCCCCGTCCTAACACTTAAAAATCATAATGTAAAGAGGCTATTGGAAATGCCAATTAAGCGCATCGGAAACACAATTCAACGATCCCCCCCCCCCCCGCTAAGAGCTAGCTTAACTGCAGTGTTGGTTGTGTTGGAAATTCAGGGCGAAGGGAGAGAAGGGTCTTTTGGTTTGGTTTGGTTTGGTTTGGTTTATTTAGATCTACATTTATACATTTTCCACTATTCTCCCTTAGTCCAATTAAAACATACTTATTACACACAAATACACAGTCAAGAGCCTGATTAGTATTCACACTCAACTATATATCAAGGTAAAATCAACACTAAATATACCTCTACGTTTCTGTATGTACAAATACTGTACACCAGGGGCTTATCAAAATTTCCAGAAGACTAAAGTAAGAATTAAATACTTCAAAAGTCTATCCTACTACTTTCATTTACTTGCGACGGGTGATAGAAGTGTCCTTAGATTAAAAAAAAAAACCTCTTGATTTCCTAGTGCCATATGCGTAGTACGCACCTCTATGTACAGTATGTAAATGCAGTGTACATGTCACAATTAGGGAATGTTGTTAGACTAAGTCCTTGTTGAGCGGTAGCTGGCCTTAATTAATGCTAGTTAAATGTGTAATTCTTTACTAAAGTAGTGGTTCCTGGTGTTTTCTAATAGTCTGTCAGACTTGTACGAAAACAACAAGAATTTCAATAAGATATAGCAGTTGACTTTTGGATATCACTGTTTGTTTTGTTTGTTTTTGATGTGCAGCGATCTTGCCTGATCCAGCATATTTACATTTTTTTTGTTTGTACATAACATTGGCTAAAACACAGCATATTGTGATTTCTATGGAAAGATATGAAAAATAAATGGACACCAGCAAAAACACAACAAAAGCTTGCAGTGCATTTAGTCTAAGAAACTGCATTCTAGAATGCCTGCACTAAAAACATTTGAAAAAAAGTAGTAACCTCTTATTTGCTGTTTAACCAGCAACAAGGTCATTCCTTTTCCGGTCTTCTTCAAACGAACTATTAAAAAGTGAAATAAACTGAAACAGAGCGGAATTTTAAGCATTTGCTGCAATCATTACAGCTGGGCGGGGATCTGTGCCTAACAGCAGGAGATCCGCCCATCCGGGGTCTTCCCGGGCTCTTACCGTTACAGGTGCCGCCCACCCGGGGTCTTCCGGGGCTCTTACCGTTACAGGTGCCGCCCACCCGGGGTCT